GTTCCAATGCATAGCAGAGCGGATAAGAAGAATCAAGTTAGGCAGAAGGATAAAAGTTTCTCAAATTTTGAAAAGATGGGAGAGTACTTTAGTATCAGTTTTGTGATCATCTTAATGATTAAGAAACCATATCAAAATTAGTTCTCTAAGGAAGTCTTAGTGCATTCTTATGACTAAGAAGAAGGGATCTTGAATTGTTGAAATGGTTAAATCAAGAAGATGAGTCATACTTCGTTTCAATACAAGTCTTAGAGTCATACTCCAAGATTGTAATTTGAGTGACATGTCTTAAAGAAGGTTTAAAACACTTATCAAATATAAGAGTAAAAGTTTTCTACTCTTGTACATTTGAAATTGGTAAGTTGTGATGTTTTGGATAAAACAAAGACCAACTAAGGCCAATTGTGTGAAGTGTTTGTCTTGATTAGAATCCACACTATCTCTTGGATGTTTGACAAGGAAGTCTTATAGGTCAAGAGGACAGTGGGAGTCTTAAAGGTCTTGAAATTCTCAAGAACTAATCAAGAATGAAACCTGAAGTTCTTCACTAGCACACGACTTGAGGTTTATAACCTATCGTGTTGACATATTCTGTGCCCATTCTAGTTAAAGTTGGCTTCGCATATGAGTTCTTAGCATTCTCAATGTGTTGCACAACAACTTGGAAGCAATGGTAGGCCCTTGAGCTGCCAGGTGGCAAGAAATTAAGATTGAGTTCAATCCATATGGTTTTGGATTTGTCATTATCCTTGTCTTGTGATTATGGTTTTGACAAATTCATATGGGTAGGAACTCATACACCAATAAATCTAAGTGTCATAAGGTTTCTCTCTGATTCATGAAAATGATAGTGAGGAAACACTTCCACTAGCAATTGGGATATTTGCATTCTCAAAGTCGTTAGTGGAGCGTGTGTGGGTTACCGGCACACTAACTTGGACTTGTGAGAAATGGCAAAGGTCAAAACTATCAAGACTATGATTACGGCATCCTTTTTCATAGTTCTTAAAATTGTTTTGACACACCCATAAGCTATCTAAGGAATGTGTATGTTTTTTGATAAAGTCTTATCAAAACAATCTAGTATCAGAAATCTGAACTTTGGTAAGTCAATAAAGTATTGATTTCTAGAAGTCCAGCTGATTTCTGAGTACATGTCAAAGCTAGTGGGAGCATAAGTGTTATGCTAATAATCATCATGTTAGTGGGAGCATGATAATTACGATAAGTATTGCAAGCTAGCAATGTTAATTATAGAAAACAAAATGTTTCAATTGGGAAAAGTTGTTTTGCTATAATTAAGGGAGAGGAAATTTACTTCATCTCAAATCTATAAGCTTAGATCGTGAGGTTTTAATCATTTAGTCAAGAATATATATGAATTTCATGTTGGAATGGCTCAACATAAGGAAATTCTGTATATGGGTCCATTATTTGCATTCTTAAATTCGATTATGATTACGGCATCCCTTTTCATAATCTGAATTATGAGAACTTGGCAAATAGAAATGGAAATGTTATAGCAAAAGACTGGTTTAGTCTTTATGTGAGACATCATGAATCGTGTCCCATATGCTTCGGATATAGGATCGATTACATGTGCTATAATTATCCGTTCTAAAAGTTTCCAAATGCCTGGGGCATTAAGAAGGGAAAAGGTTTAGAACTGGATGTGACTAAAAGGATTAAACAATTGTCGAGGAAAATCTAAGGTTTACCAAAGATTGGTTGCTCAAGGACAGTTGGAAGTGTAGTGATAATTCTGGAAGGACCATATTGACATAATCTGTAAGGAGGCAACTCTTGTTCAGAAGTGATAGTCAAAATGGAATCTGGAAATGTTTCAAAGTTAGAATTTTTCCAATCTGTTTAAGATTAGGAAACTTAATGCACGAAGGATGTTTCTAAGGAGTTGATCTCCTTTGGAATACTCTGTAATGATTGTTTCCAAGTCTTTCTGACTTTGTGCATAATCATTATAAGAGGATCAATGCATATAAGTTTAGAATCTAACAGATTTCAGTAAATGACATGAATTTGGAATTCTTGCATTTGCAGTAAGGATTTGGGAGTGTGAAAAGAGAATCATTGAAGTTATGTTCAATTGATCTAGTTCACAAAGTAAAGATCATAGACAAACATAGTGTGCATACTTGGTGTATGGCATGACTAGTGTTTAGAAAAACATAGTGTACATGCTTGGAGCATGGGACAACTATTGTTTTAAATTCAAGAATAATGTTGATAGCTGAAACAGTATACAATGAATAATGTGTAATCAATCATATGGTGATAAATAAAAGGTGTTTTATTTATATTCATAAGTTCTGAGACCATATTGGATTCAATTATTATTGTGTTGCACTTTGCATGTTTTGACTTCCCGAATAAACTAGGTTATTCTTCCGGAATGACTACGTTATTCAAACCATCCACAGTCGGTCATATGTTGGAAGTAGATATGAATTAAGACTGTCATGGGTTGGCTTGTAGAGGTCTAAGTTGTTGGACAAAGGGCTACAACACTCATGAGTTCTCATAAGTTCTGAGTATTGGATTCAACCCGCGCTCATTGGAATCACTTCATGGATTTTATCACGAGTGATCATGAGACGATAATATCTTATATTCTTCAAACCTAGAGATATGAGTTGTTACTATGAGTTGATAGTACATTGATTACACGAAACGCATTGGTAACTCGATGTTATAAAACGTATCTTTGTGTATGATTCAACAAGTAGTAGAACAAGCCATATGAGTCAAAGTTTATCCATTCCTTTACCTTCGGGATGAAAGCGATATCTGTGGGCCCCTCGATGATTTGATGATGACAAATGGAAGTGCTCGGCTGGGCCAGGACTGATTTGATTTGTTCAATTAGTCAGTCGTCATAAATCGGAAATCGGGAAACAACAAATGGACAGAGAGAATGATTATAATCCATGTCTCAGTCCATACGATATCTAGAATGGAGGAATATATGATCCCTTATCTAATGGACAAGTCATTGACAAGATCAGAGTTCATCTACAAGGTCAGAGTTCGACAGAAGCTTTTGAGAGCTACGATTGCCAGTTGGTTCCTGAAGTCATACGCAATAATAGTTTTAGACTTATCCAAGTGGGAGACTGTTGGATTAATGTCTAAGTCCATAACTATAATTGGTAAGACTTGACCCGACCCGGCATGGTCCATTTGGGTTGCATGGCATCATGCACTTGGATAGACTATAATGAGAGAAATAACACTTAAGGTTTGTTAATATATTATAAGTTCTAATATATTAATAAGGTTATTTAATTAGTATTGATCAAGAATTAATTTGGAATTAATTAAGTGATCAAAAGGAGACTAATTAAATATATGGGTTGATTGTGTAAATCATTCATTCTTATATATGTGGGCTTGTGATCCAAGATTCCTTATGTTGGACTAAGTCCATGGGGTGACCCATGGATACTCCATGGAGGTTAAAATCCATGGAGCATAAGGAATGGGTAAAGTCATGAGTTACATGGTGTAACCCTAATAGCCACCATATAAAAGAAACCCATGGCTCAAGAAATCGTTACTAATATGTGTGTGTATGAGGGCTAGATGATTTCATGAAGTGTTCTAATTTCTCTCTAAGTTATTCCAAGTGCTTATGGTGTTGTGTGAACCATTTGAGGTGTCACACTTGGGGCACTAGGCACTCAAGCTTCATGAAGACATTCTACATCAAAGAGGTATGTATTCTATCTTGCTTTATTGATTGTTTTGTATGCTAGATTAGGATAATACCTTGGACGTTCATATTTGCATGTATAATAGAGAAAACATAGATCCAAGGTATTTAGGGTTGCATGTACACTTAGGAGTGTTAGAATGCTCATAACCCAACAGTTCATAAGCCCAAGGGTTAATTTTTTATTTCATTCATTTTTGCCTCAAATTTAGGCACAATAGTACTACCATCAACAACCCAAAACAACTTCCTATATGGTTTACCTTTGAATATTTTCTTGAAGTTAGCATAGATGTGCCTAACACATTGTCTATGCTTTGCTTCTGGAACCATTTCTTTGGCAGCCTTTAGTAATCCCTGAAAGAAAACCTGAAATAGGGTTGAGTAATAGATTACATAACAAAAACATTCAACTGAAACAAAACATAACATAAAATATACCTTGCGTTTGTCTAACATGAGGGTCAATCCATGACTAAGTCCCATTTCAATGTCATCTAATAGGAGGTCAAGAAACCACTTCCATGTTTCCTTATTTTCAACTGCCACCATAACCCATTCAATAGGGAAAATGTCGTTGTTTGTATCCCTATCCATAGCTACTAACAGTTGACCTCTACATATACCCTTTAAAAAAAAACTATCTACCCATATTACCCTCCTACAGGATGCAATCTACCCATCCTTCACACCCTTAAAACAAACATACATTTTAGAAAAGTAAGTATTGGAATCAGGCATGTCATCCACATCCATCTTTACTCTTGAACCTGGATTTGTCCTAATTATTTCTTTTCCATAACTCCATAATTTACCATAATGTTCTATCAAACTACCCTCTATCTCATCCAAAGCATATCTCCTAGCATTTCTACATTGATTCACACTAACAATCAAGTTAAACTTTGTACTTACCTTAACTTTCGTTTTCATTATGCTCATTTTGGGGTTTTGCAATAGCTTATTCTTAAAATGCTTTGCAATCCATTTATATGTTACAATGGAACCAAGTTTGAAGACTCTTGAACAATTATGTTCATCAATTAAGGACTTAATCTGGAAAGACCTTTCACTACTTATCCAGGAAGCCCACGGTCTAAAAGGATAGGGGGTGGTTATTGCTGTCTTTACAACATCTTACTAACAACCTCTGACTATAATTTTTCTCAAAATAAAGGTTATAGTCATTCTTCACTACATAGTTAGTCACACAAATTTTCAATCCTAAAGGATTAGAGAATCTCATACATAAAATTGGCAACATTTTTTCCTATTTCTGATTCTCATTATGGATAGGGTACACTGGTTTGTCATCCCCATAATTGGTTTCAACCTCATCATTTTTATTTTTACAAATACCTGACACCCGATGCAAAAATTCATCACCAGTAGTATTGTCAATAGAAGGAATCTCAACATCTGCTTCATGCTCATATGAAATATCATCAGAAAGTTGTGAATCGTTGTCATCATCCGGGTCTTGCTCAGAATCATCCCCTTCATCATCTTTTACTACTTCCATATCAGCCCAATCAAGTACAAGTTCATTTTCGTGGTCTATATACACATTTATTCTTAGACCATTTTCATCACTATAACCCGCATCAATAAACTCAAAGTTGTCAGCATCATTCCCAATTCTCATAATACCTTCTACCAATGGTTAATTTCTAGTGCATTAATATACATTATCGCAACTGCCTTCAACCAATTTTTCAAGGAGAAAAATAAACTCCTTGAGATCCATTGCACCAATAGCGACATCACAGATTGAAACAACAACGTTTAAATACACTAATGGTTTTGGTGCGAACAAACCATTATAATGTACATAAACTGTCAAATACTTACATCGTTTGGAATCGGAGTACATCTTCTTCACTATAACACTCGCATTTACCGGTTCTCTTCAATTTCATAACCGTAATCTTGGATTGAACTGTTGTCTTCAATTACACTATGAACCCTAAGTTTAAGGAGAAAGGGGGTGAAAGAGAAACGGGGAAGAAATGTGTTCTAAGTCCACATAATACGACATGTCATCAATAATTAAACGTTTTAAAATAAGGAAACCGAAAAAGCAGGTGATAACCGATCGCAAGGGTTTTGATGAGCACGAATAACAAGTTCAATGGTATAATTAAGAAAATAAAAGACCACATGCAACACTTTGTTAGCCTCCTAAATCATTTTCCAAAAAAAAAAAAAAAAAAAAAAAAAAAAAAAAAAAAAAAACTTATGATTTAATTTCGATTTTATCCCAAAATTAACTCATGCTTAGTCCTAAAAGTAGAAAAGAATACGAATTCTAAAAAAGTATTGATTTTTACCAAAAAAAAAAAAGTTAAATAAGAATGAAATTCTAGAATCTTCCGACCATTTTAAAGACATATAAATAACGGCATTAAGCCTTATTTATGGTAATTCAAAATGGTTTCCATTCTTTTACTATGGTAATAAAGGGAAAATGACTTATAAGGGTAAGAAAGTTTCACAAATATTCAAAAACAACCATCTAAGTTTGTCCTCGTTCAAAAAATACAATTCAAATAACAATATTGTATAAAAAATACCAATAAAATATACTGTTTGTTCAAATGTTACCTATGGTAACCGGCAGGTGTAGGTTACCTCTCTTATTCAACCGTTTAAAAAAATAAAAAGAAAAAAGGAAATGACATGGAGTATACGATCGTTTAACATATATGTGGGTTTTACCCTTCTCTCTCAACAACACGAAGACCGGGAAGGCGATTCTTCTAGGGCTCGATCGATCAAATATCCTTCAAGAAATTCTGAAGTCTGATATGTTCATGTAAGTTATACTCTTAACATTCCCTCTTTTAGCAAACGATTTTTCTTTTCTTGTGTCTCTTTTTGTGTTTCAAACACTGGCTTCGATACCCCACCCCTCTAAATCAATCGAACGTTGGATATAGAATGGAGGTTTGTAGACTCATCGTTGATTGATAAAAATCAGACCATCACTTATTCTCATGGGTAACTTACCCTAAATCAGGGGTAGCAAACCCTAAATCAGTCTGCATACTTTTGAACTGTGTTGAACATTCTTGGAAATTTTATTGTTTTAATTAGTCATATGTTCAACCTTTATTTATCTTATATGATTATGTTACTTGCTAATCATTAACAATGACCTTTGTAGTTGACTTTGGCCGTTAAAACAAGAATGTCGTTCTCAACAGATGGTGCATTGAGTATAGATGTTTTCCATAAAGGAGTGTTTGTTCCTAAGCCCTTGATGTACTTCAATCCTGATAAGACTTCTATCACAGAGGTAGACTTACGAAATCTGGAGTTTAAGGACTTCAAAATCTACATCCGTAATCTGACGAAGGGTATGTGTCATGATATGTACTACTGTCTTCCAAATCGGGCCTTAGTAGATGGGTTGAGGGAGCTGAGAGATGAAGATGATTATGTAAGGTTTCTTGATGCTGGATATAAAAATGGGAGAAGAATCAGTATCTACATTGATCACGACCATGAGCCACTTATGCAATGGATTGAAGAAGAGATAGCCGAAGATGGAGTGTACGGTGATAGTGATCCATCTTCTGATGATGTGGACTCGGTGATGTCAGATGATATATCGGTAGACCATGAAGTTGATGATGAGGTTATAGAAATTCCTAAATCTGTTGATCCGTTTTTATCCAAGAAAAATCTTATTCCAAAAGGAGGGGTAGATGAGGAAGTTGATGATGAGGTCCACCACTTTCCTATTCATGATCCCGACCAGAAGTGGGACACAATGGTACCTGTATTAGGCATGAGATTCTCTGACAGATATGAACTCAAGCAAATGATAACAAATTATGCTGTCTTTAAAGGGTATGCATTGTGGTACGAAAAAAATGACTCAACTAGATTGTTAGTGAGGTGATGTAAAAATAAAGAAGGGAAGGCAGCTTGCCCTTTTAGACTATGGGCTACTCCAATGAGTAGTGAAGATTCATTCCAGATCAAATCGCTAATTGATGAACATAACTGTTGCAGGCAAGTTAATTTGGGGTCTATTGTGACATACAGGTGGATTGGTAAAATGTTAACGAATGACATTTTGGAAAAGCCCTGCATCAGCTACAGGAACATGGTTGCATTAGTTAAGAAAAATTTTGGTTTGCATGTAAGTGTTGGGCAATGTAGAAATGCCAAGAGTTTTGCACTAGATGAAATTTCAGGTAGCTTGGTGGGACACTATGAAAAGTTGTGGGATTATGGAGCGGAGTTATTGAGCTCTAATCCGGGTTCAACAGTCTTAATAGAAGTGAATCCTATGCCTGATTCTACAGCTTACTTTAAAAGAATGTATGTCTGCCTTAAGGGTGTGAAAGATGGTTGGATTGAAGGATGCAGGAGGGTGATTGGTGTTGATGGATGTTTTTTGAAGGGTATTTGTAGAGGTGAGCTATTAGCAGCTATTGGTAGGGACTCCAACAACCAAATGTACCCGTTGGCATGGGCAGTAGTGTCAGTAGAAAACAAGGAAACTTGGAAATGGTTCTTAGATCTGCTACTTGAGGACATTGGGATGGGAGATGGCAGAGGTCTTACCATTATTTCTGACCAGCATAAGGTTTGTTCTTATAAATACATAACTTAGTGCTTTATATGTTTATTTATATGTTATTTTATATTTAATGTTAATATTTTCATCTGGCAGGGTTTGGTAGAAGCTGTTAAAGAAAGAGCACCAGCATGTGAGCATAGGCAATGTGCTAGACACGTCTATGCTAACTTTAAGAAGAAATACACAGGTGTTGAGTTTAGGAAGTTATTCTGGAGAGCTGCAAAGTCCACAACCGAGTCAGCTTTCCGATCTTATATGAGGGAAATCAATGCGATGTCCACACATGCTTATGATCACCTAATGGAAAGAGACCCAAAGACATGGTGCAAGGCATTTTTTGAGCTTGATAGGTGTTGTGATGCTATGGAAAATGGAATATCAGAATCTTTTAATGCAGCAATTGTAGAGGCCAGGAAAAAACCTATTATATCAATGTTGGAAGAAGTCAGAGTGTACGTGATGGAGAGGATGTACAAACAAAAAGGGAAGGGGGAAAAATGGAACTTGGATATATGTCCTTCCATTAGAAGGAGGATTGAGACATTTAAAGAACAACAGAGGTATAATACTTACTTGGACTGCAACTTTTTTTTATTTGAAATTACTTACTTTATACCATTTAATCATAGGTATTGGGATGTTACTCCAAGTGGTCCACAGATATATGAAGTGAGACAATTACATGAGGTTTATGCAGTTGACTTGGACCAAAGAACCTGTGGGTGCAGAGCATGGCAGTTGACTGGTATACCATGTGTACATGGTATTGCTGCAATCTTCTTTTTGAATGGGAATGCAGAGGAGTATGTTGCCGTTTGGTTCACAACGAATATGTTTGGAAGTTGCTATAGATATAACGTGAAACCAACTAATGGAGCTGACATGTGGCCGGAAACAGGTCTTCAAAGCATCTTGCCACCAAGGCATAGGAGAATGCCCGGGAGACCAAAAGTGAACAGAAAGAAATGCCGTACAGAAAAAGAAGGAAAACATACTGTTAGCAAGAAGGGGGGCATTCCAAAATGTGGTAATTGTCATCAAGAAGGTCACAACAGGAGACGATGTCCATTGCTGAAACAAGGTTTGATTCCTAATTACAATCTTTCTTTATTAAGATTTTGACACTAATAATTTTTTTGCTTTACAGATGAACAACTACCTGAGGAGGTTGGGTCTGAAGAAGTAGTGGTTGCTGAGGAGGTTGGGGCTGAAGAAGAAGTGGTTGCTGAGGAGGTTAGGGCTGAAGAAGAAGTCGCTGCCGAGGAGGTTGGGGTTGAAGAACAAGTGGCTGCTGAGGAGGTTGGGGTTGAAGAAGAAGTGGTTGTTGAGGAAGTTGTTGAACAAATGGTGGATGATGAGCAACCAAATGAGGAGCAAGCAGCTGAACATGTAGTTGCTCAACATGTACAAGTTGTTGCTAAAAAGTGTAATAGGAGAAAGGGTGGTCCTTCTCAGAGGATCACAAAGCTTAAGTTGATGAGAAAGGTGGTTACAAAAGATGGAAGTGGGTCAAGTATTGATAATCCAGTCACCTTAATCTAGGATATTAGCTTTTGTTTAAATTATGCCAAAAACTATGAAATGGCACATCTTTTGGTGCTTAGTGCACACTAAAAACAATTAAGTATTGTAAGGGCTCCTCTTTTGGTGCCTTGTGCACACTTACCAACATTTAGTGCCGGATGCACATGTTTTGAATGAATATCACTTACTGTTTATGCCCTTTAAATTGTTTGTACATCTACTGTTTTATCACTTACTATCCATATATTGTTGTTTGTTGCTTTGAAAAATTGTGATTTTAATAGTTATTTACCAATCCTTTGTTTGGGCATAATGTGACCAATACTTTGTTTGAGCATGAGGTGGGCAAGAAATAATAACGTACAAATTGAAAGTGTGATGCTATTTCAGAAATGGTGTTTTGGTCATTTACTTCACTACATCAATACTTACTGTCCATATATTGTTGTTTGTTGCTTTGAAAAATTGTGATTTTAATAGTTATTTACCAATCCTTTGTTTGGGCATAATGTGACCAATACTTTGTTTGAGCATGAGGTGGGCAAGAAATAATAACGTACAAATTGAAAGTGTGATGCTATTTCAGAAATGGTGTTTTGGTCATTTACTTCACTACATCAATACTAATATTTGGCCATTGAACCATATATTTTTTTGACAACTGCTTTATCATTTTCTGAAATTAGGTTTTGTGTTACCAAAATCACGCCCAAATTTTCGAATTTGTCCATAAGAAGATGGAAGCTTCACTAGTTTCGCCAAAAATGCAACAAGAATGACCAAAATACCCCTATTTTTAGTTTCGCCAAAAATGCAACAAGAATGACCAAACTACCCCTGTTTTTAGTTTCGCCAAAAATGCAACAACAATGACCAAACTACCCTTGTTTTTAGTTTCCCCAAAAAAGGAACAACAATGACCAAAATACCCTTGTTTTTAGTTTCGCCAAAAATGCAACAAGAATGACCAAACTACCCCTGTTTTTAGTTTCGCCAAAAATGGAACAAGAATGATCAAAATACCCCTGTTTTTAGTTTCGCCAAAAATGCAACAAGAATGACCAAACTACCCTTGTTTTTAGTTTCGCCAAAAATGCAACAAGAATGACCAAACTACTCATGTTTCTAAATTAATGACCAAGATGCCTATGTTTCGAAATTAATGACCAAAATACCCCTGTTATAGCAGCCATGTGTGAGGGTTTGCATGCGGTTCTATATCATTGAATAAAAGTTCATTGCTATTTCTCCTCCATTATAATGGCTTGATGACAGTTATACCATCCATACAAACAACCATTATATACTAAAAGGACAATGATATTTCTTCTAAACATTCTTAAAAGCAAAGTGAAACTACAAAAAGTACATTGATATTTCTTCTAACATTGTTAAAAGGGAAATCAAAATGAAACTACAACTTACCATACATACTAAAAGAAGTACATTGCAATGATTTAAATATATATACTACATCATTAATTTCATTAAAAACACAACAAAAATCATGATTATGAACCACTTCTGAAATCGTAATTTCCTACTCATTTGTGTCAATTCCTTACTTAAAGTAATATATTCCTTCTTTGCTATCCCTTTGTGCTCATTCAAATCTTTTTCCAAAATTGATATCCTCACTTCAATGGAATCTACTTTTATTTCTGTTTCATCTCTCTTATTCGTGTTTCTTACTCCTTCATCGTCATCAACCCATTTCCAAAGAGAACAATTTGGTGTGTTTGGATCCTTCATATGCAGAAAAAAAAAATTACCATCTGAAGAGGGAAAACGACATTAACTAAGGAAGTATGTATACAAAAGGTATGATAACTTACCAGTCGGTTGGGACAAACCCTAAATTTTTTCCCAGGATTCTTTTTAGTGGTTGAAGTCCAAATTTGCGATGGGAACCCACAACCACAAGGGTATGAATCATCAACCATCTTCTTTGTCTTTGAAACGTTAGAGCTTGAGGATGAGATTATGGATTTGGCAGAACAAGATGAAGCCATTAAGATGTTGATGAAGGAGACGATGCAGGAGAGAAACCAGTAGTGCTCGTCCCAAATTATGCAAAAGCCCTAATTCGTTTTCAATAAAAACTTATATGCCATGTCATTAATTTTAAGCCACATCAACAATTTTTTAATCCTTAACCTACAACAACCGGTTACCATAGGTAACATTTGAACAAACCATATATTTTATTGGTATTTTTTATACAATATTGTTATTCGGATGGTATTTTTTGAACAATGAAAACTTGGATGGTTTGTTTTGAACATTTGTAAAACTTTCTTACCCTTATAAGTCATTTTCCCGGTAATAAAAGGAGTCCTAACTTCTTCTCACTATAAACGTGAAGGGCATCTTCATCACCATTTTCAGAATAACCGATGGGGCTGTTCTCGAACAGGTAAAGGTATTTTCAAATAGTTTTCAGTTTTAACATTAGATTATAATGTAATGTAGATGAAAAGACTTCGATTTGGCTTAATGCAGAGTGGTCAGAGAGAGTGTGAAACCAGGAGATCATATATATTCATGGCGTGTTGCTTATATTTACGCTCATCATGGTATTATTCTCTCTGTTTTTACTACTTGTTTTGTTTCTTCATCAAATTCTTGTTGGAATCAAGTTTATTTGAGTGACGACAGATCTAATGTGCGTTATTTCATCGAGTCACAACTCATAAAACCCTAGCTTTATATCCCACTTGTTTTCTACTCATGTTTTTGTGGCTGTTTTTACTTAAGCATTTTTACTAATATGTTGGTGTTTCTATTTTATTTATTTATTTATTTTCTATGGATTTCGATAATTTTGAAATTTAGGGTTTGGATATGGAATATTTTAGTTAAGAGCATCACAATGAGCTTTCTCAAGAGCCTAATTTCGGTTTGGATATGGAATATTTAATAACCTTTTAAATAACTTTGCCAATATATATGCTCTAGTGAGCTTTTTCAAGTATTGTGATGTGTCCCATGAATTTGAATTTTCAACAAAATGTAAATACAAACTTTATATATACATGATAAAACGATATAAATAATTGATGAGTTTGATAAATGAGTAAATGAAAAAACCCATATATGAAAGAAAAAAAAAACCCTTATTTGACATTTTTTTCTTACAAATAAAAAAAAATCCATGAATTTTAATTTTTTTAAACCGGTAAATATGATCTACTCGTAAACTAACACCTAATACACCAATGTCCACAACATGATTTGAACCCTCGATTTTAGAGAGGACGGAGGATAACATCTGATACCTTGAATTATGTGTGTTTATATATATATATATATATATATATATATATATATATATATATATATATATATATATATATATATATATATATATATATATATATATATATATATATATATACTAGCAATGTACCCGTGCAAAGCGGCGGGGCGTGTAAATTCTTTCGGTGATATGTTTTCTCTACAAAAATGTTAGATTACAAAAGAAAATACATGTCGAAGACAAAATAATCAAACTATGGTGTTATTTGTTACATGATGCATCAAATAATCGATAAAAACAAACTGGTCAAGAAGACATATAATATGAAATGTTTAAGCTATTCAAACAAAAATAAAGAATTATAAGAATACACAAAATATGAAAATCTGTAATAACACATGACTAATTATATATTATTAATCGTACAACACTTCTTTATACACCACATTTGATGTATAAACTTCATCACCTTCTAAATTTTCGTTAGGCTTCATTAATACTTTTGTGTCCCTAGTATAAACAATATTATGTAAAAAAAACTTAAAATTTATCTTCTTTATGATTTTATTACTAACTTGGATTTTTATGCCATAAATTTGGATACGACGGCTAGTTTTTTTTTCACTATCGTCAATTAGTTTCAATAGATGATTAGCTTTCTTTCCGCAGACGTCAAATATATTTATTTGAGTGAACACTTTCCTTTTGGCAATGATTATCTCCTTTATTTTTAATATGAATGTCATCTAATCAAATGAAAGTCTTAAACTCTTATATATTTAGCTTAGTCTTTTCATTAGTTTAACATCATAATATCAATGTTAAATGCTATATATATATATATATATATATATATATATATATATATATATATATATATATATATATATATATATATATATGTGTGTGTGTGTGTGTGTGTACATTCTCAGTTTCATTTCGGCAACTAAATTGTCTGTTTTATTTCAAAAAAATATTAGTTAGTTATAATTTCTTTTGCGGACGGTGAATAATTTTCTTTCGAGGAATCATCTATTTTTGTGAATTATTTGGCCATTCGTAAAAATATCATATCTAATATATAAATATACAATAAATAGTCAAATACGATTTATAATTAAGATTAATATTTATTAGTTACGTGTTGGTGTTAATTTTATTAGGTGGAAAAAAGAAGTGTAATAATAATAATAATAATAATAATAATAATAATAATAATAATAATAATAATAATAATATAAACTTGGTATTACTTTAACAAATAGTAAACTAATGGAAATAAATACAACTGGACTATATATTATAATTTAAAAGTATATATTTATTTGACAAAGAAAACATTGTGAAGATTGCATCCTTTGACTTTGAAACAATTATAGTACTATAATCACAATGTGTCGAAATTAATTACACCATATTTGACATAATTAAAGTGGATTGGAGACGCAGTTATACAATAAAAAAATTAATTCATACATTATTCTTTACATACCAGCATGTTAATATTCATGCTATGGAAAGTACCCGTTTTTAATATATTCTGACAACCTTTAAGTTATAGGATTATCAAATGTCTTATATTTATGTAATAACTATACATTCACATACCATATTTTTACAATTAATAATATGAAATTATTTTTGGTCCGTAGTTTGCAACTTCAACTCATAATGACCGGATGCTTTTGATACAAAATTCATATTTAAAAACCTCAATTAAACAATCTTGATCCTATAGTCAAGGATTCACAATTTAAATTTTTCAATCTACACTCTAGTCTTGATCTCACAACACTAACAATTTAACATCATATATTGCTACCTGTACCAGTATTACGATGAAAATAGTTGAATATCCTACAAACTAAATCATGATCTGCAGAGAGCGCTAACTCCCTTCCAGGGATGGTTACACTATGGTGCCCATAGTGGCACCGGCAACCCCTTATTTTTCCGGATACAGTGTAAAAATTTTCAAATTTTTCGTTTTTTTCTACATTTGTGCTACTACGAAATCTTGGGTCCGTCGATGCTCCCTTCAACAATATAGGTGCAAGTTTCCCACTTTCTTCTTGGCTTATACATTCTTTCGACTTCGTCCTTCCTGCATTTCACCCATCTTATCTTTAAACACACACACACATATGTACATCGACAAATACACACACAAGAGACACAACCACACTTGTATACTTAATACAAACACCACACACACACATCAAACTTCATAACCCCAAAAACCAAAGATCATCAAATGACTTGTTAGTGGCATTAAAAAAACAAAAGCAGCTGATAGAAATACAAGTGGCAAATACAACATACGCCCTGCACAATTCACCAATTAGCAGCGAGATTTATCTAAAAAGCTAGTGAAACAGTTGATACATATGCTAAATACAAGTCAAAGAGCACTACATTAGTTAATGGCGTTTAAATTATTGAAAAATGTGTAAGATGCATGAAAAATGACTACGCAAACTTACAGAAGGATAACCATGCCAAATGTCCACTTATAAAGTTACATGACTATGCAACTTTATCCGATTGTCCAACATGCATAAAAAATGAGAGATAACATTCGAGTTCATGTAACCCTTATTGCTTCCAAGAATTTTCATCTCAGAATTTTTCGATGAATATTTGCAAATTTCTAACCTGGGAAATCAAACAAAACATTACAAATCAGATTTTTCTTCTTCAAATCGAAATTTAAAAAATAAAAATTGATGGTAAGGGAAAAAAAAGGAATTAAAAGCTGAGATACTAAAGGGTAAAAGTGATGATAATCATAAATTGAATTGAAAAGAACATGCTTACAAGTTCAATGCTGGGTCTTCATTTCAAAATGAACCAGAACCCAAAATCCAAAGCATCTACAAACATGATGAAGATTCAAAAGCTGGAAAATCAAACAACATATTTACAGATCTTGATTGTTCTTCTTCACTTCAAGAATCAAAAAACAAAAATGATAGAAAAAAAATGGAAATCTAAACCTAGAATATCAGAGAAAAAGTATATAACAAATCAAAAATAAACCGATAGGAATAAACTTACGGGTTAAAATCGTGTTTCGTTCATCATTCATGGGATGTTACGTTCCAAATTTTTGGACCTAAAAAGAAACCTCCAAAATTAACACAGTAAGAAAAAAAATGAACCCCTCAAAACATCGATCTTCTTCATAAAGTTTAGATCTATTTTTTTTTTTTATAATTGTTAGTCTTCACACTAATCAATTTAATCACACTAATCAATTCAATCAAAAGTAAAATCTCAAACATATATATAATCATAAAATACGAAAATTAAAGATGTTGGAAAGAGCTTTAGATTAAGTAAAGAAAACAATAGAAAAATGGGCGTTTGCTTCTCTCTTTAATGTATTGGACACTTGTGTTTGCTTCTCTCTAGCCCATACATGTTGCAAAAGAAATTGAACCTCGATCACACTAAAATAAGCAAATTAGAGCTAAAAATAAAATAAAAACAACAACAAATTCGAAAATGGTTAAAGACTTATGAACCAAAAAAAACTAAACTAAAAGGTAGTTCCAAAATGAAATTATTCGTGAAAAGCATGGACTCCACCTAGAGTCATCTAGATTAAAAAGAAAAATATAGACAGGTAATTAGGGTCAAATGAAAGATTGTACTCTCACCAGTCACCTATTGCTCATTTTTTCTTCTAGATTTTGAGCTTCGTAATAACATCCTCAATTCGGAAAATGATACAATAAACATGAAAATGAAAAAGATCAAACATAGATCTTTCCACAAAATTGAACCTCGATGTTTAGAAAAATCGAAGTCGGTCAAAAACTAAGTATCTATTTAAAATATTTCAAAATTACAATAAAGATTTACATAAATGTATAATCTAGAAATATACCTGAATATATTGGAAACCATGGTGCTGGGTGGTTAAAGGCATAACCATGAAAACGACAAAAGTGTGTATTGATCAGGCCGACATTTGGGAATGGTTGGGTTTGACTGGAAGCGACGGTGTAAAAACGATCAAAAAATGTCATGGCCGCGGTGGACGGCATCACATATGACAAATCAAAACTCTAAATGCCACTTGAGAGAAAAAAGATAGAGAATGAGAAGAGGGAGAGCTTCCAAGAGTAATTTAGGATTCCTGTGGTGAAGTCGTTTTTGGAAGGAAAGACGTTAGAAAGCGGTGTCATAGAACCGATGGTTGGGGATAATAGAAGACGGGAGATGAAGTCATTTTCTGTTCCTGGATGGTGGGCTTTATAGTAGTGGAGGGAACAAAGAGGTATATGAGATGTGAGAGATATTTGAATAAACATGCTAAATTTAAGTATATCTAAAAGGGTTCAAAATTTGAATGAATCCTGGATTTGAGGAAACCATATCAAATTGTTGAGAAATATAAGAAGATTTGAATTTAAAACGTGGTTAAAATTTAATATTATTTTATTAATGGTTACTTGTACTATCAACTTCATCATTTGGACGTCTTAAAAAATATTATTATTATAATCAGTTTATTTTTAGAAATAGTTAGATTTCTTTTATAAAATACTATATATATATATATATATATATATATATATATATATATATATATATATATATATATATATATATATATATATAACTGTATTATTTTTGTTTTGGATCCGCCACTATCTATGTTGGTGATAACAAAGTGATTCATTTCACGAGACACAGTCAAGAAGCAGGAACCGGTTCGGTTTTCGATGTCTTAACGGGTAGCTCAGCACCACCACCGACTCTAATCCCATGCCGTAATTGCACGCCTACCAAGAACACCAATTGAGTTATTTCCTCTTGTCTCGATTGTTTCCTCTCTGGCGGAGTCCTCTACCGTTTCGAATACTCTGCCAACCTTGCGGTCTTCATGGGCAAAGCACGCGGCGGCACTTGCACTCTTGCCGCCTCAGACCCACCAGAAACCACCCTCCACCGCACAAACTACCTCCTTGAGCATGGCTTTGGGTGCTACAATGTTTTCAAGAACAATTGTGTAGACTTTGCTTTATACTGTAAAACGGGCCTTCTCGTTTCGGATAAAAAGTCAACAAGTCAAAGCGGACATACAACATCATCCTTCATTGGTGGATCCCTAATGGGTGTCGTTTCTGTTTTGTTTAAGGTTGCGAAGACAACATCGGGTGTGGTATCGGTGCAGCTATGTATTATGTTAGTCGCTATACGTATGATTTTGGTGTAAGGAGTGATGTGATTAAGGTTGATGTGCAGGATCTCCCACATAAGTAGGCATAACAATAATGGTACTTAGTATCGGGTTGTTTCTTTTTTACTTGATGAACTTTATGTGTTCACTATTTAACTTAGATGCCTATGTATGATTGTCTTTTATATGATTCGGACAAAATGACTTATGGATTTTAACAACTTAGGGAGTTTGTGTGCATGTAATTAATGAAGTTGTAGTTATAAAGAATTATCAACTTGGATTCCTACAATTTGATAGTTTTCTATCTCCAAGATTTAAATGGTGAAACGAAATGTGTCAAATTCGTATAGAGTTTGTTTGAGTCGATCACAAGAAAATATGATCTAAAGTACAACTCAAACAGGAAAATAAGATTCAGATAACTTATTAGTTAAACACCTCAAACGGTTTTTATGGAAACAAATTACTTAGATAGGGACTATTGTATAATCATAACTCATAAATAGGTTAGTAAAAATATCCAAATTCCAATTAAAAAACGTTATCAAAGATGTCATAAACTAATTTAAACTCTAAACTCTAAACATCTCATAAAAAAGAGTAACACATGCAATCTAAGTGGCCCATGGAACCCAATGATTATATTTTGAGCAAGTAATATTTGAACTCTAAATCTTCTGTTAGAAATTCTACATCTGAACAATTAGACACCTAGGGCTTTGTACTCACATATGTTAATAAAAAAATATTGTTAGGACCTCTAATAACTTGAGTGGATTGCAAATAATTTTGGTGTTTCATCATTTGGATTAGGATCAATGTTTTCCATTTTATTTTGGAGAACATTAGTTTCCTATTTTTTCCGTGATAGTTATCAAATAGTTAAAAATTCATTTTATTTTTAATAAGATCAACTTTCCTTCAAACTAGGAGTTTTGGCTATTCTCAAACTTTTTTTTTTTTTTTTTTTTTTTTTTTTTTGGTGTCATGTTCCGTTCAAGTTTTTCAGAGACGTCCATATTTTGAACAACTTCAAAATATTTATAATCTAATTATCTTATAGGAAAAACCTTAGAAAAACCCAACATATTTTCATCAATTCCTTAAAAAAACCACTATATTGTTTTTTGTATGTTAAAGCCTTTATATTTTTTAAAATAGCTAAGTTAAAGCTTTGAGCTCGGTAAATTTTAGATAGCAGAAAATGCTAGTTAATCGATTCTCAACGGTTTGATGGTTACAATCCATCAGATTAAAAAATTTCAAAAGATATAAGGATTTTGATGTACTATAAAAATAATATAGTGGATTTTTTAATGCTTTGATGAAAACGGATTGGATTTTATTAAGGTTAAAAAAACTTAAATAAGACTTTCAGAAAATATGTGGTCAGTTTTATCAACATCCCTATGTATTATCACATCAACAAAAATGGAAACGAATACGTTTTTGTTGAGCATACAAATTCTAATAGACTTTGATGCTTTGATGAGCGTCTTCACATTCTTTATACGAAATTTTTTGCACACGAATTCTTTGTCTTTGTCAAACTTGTAATGCCGAATAGAAGATTAAAAAAAAAAGGGAGAGATTTAGGTCCACTTTATGTTTGGGTGAAAGGTTCTTATTAAAAAAAAAGATTAAAAGAAGACTTAATATCCACACATATAACAATTGCTTTCTTCTGTATATAACATAAACCCTAATCATTTGTAAATCCAAAAAAAAAAAAAACCATACACAACAAAAGAATAAATCCATTAAGCCAAAACACATTATTACTTGGCCAAAGTAACACACAAACTTCACAAAGTCTTGACAACAACAATCCAACACTACATACTATTATTACCACCCACTAAAGTCGGAATCCTAGATTCCGCCAAAGCCGGAATCCTGGATTCCGCCAATGCCGGAATCCCCGATTCCACCACCCTAAGTTCACCAGTCGCCATCCTCCGTGTCAAATCCTCCACTCGCACCTTCACCACATCCGGCCTCATCCCAATATCCGCCGCATACCGACTCGCACAATACACACCAACCGCAGTCGCCGCCATCCCATAAACATTCGTGGTCACAAGCCTTAGCGGCGATGCCAAAACCGCCGCCAGGGGCCCACCGATGATGGAAACCGTTTGCCCGCTCCGCCCAATCGTCCCTTGCTCAACAACAAGCTTCCCCGTCTTACAATAGATTGCAAAATCCTCACAATTACTCTTGAAAACATTGTAGCAACGGAAGCCGTTGGTAAGGAGGTAGTTTGCGCGGTGGACGACGGTTTCCGGTGGGTCGGTGGCGGCGAGAGTGCAAGTGCCGCCGCGGGCTTTGGCGAGGAAGAGAGCGGGCGTGGCGGAGTATTCGAAACGGTAGAGGGCGCCGCCGGCGAGGAAGCAGTCAAGACATGAGGAGAGGACTCCGTTGGTGTCGTCGGATTCGGTGCATGTGGCGCAGGGGAAGTGGGACCGCGTTGGGGTTGAGCTGACTAGGAGGACGTCTAGAATTGTTCCGGTTCCTACTTCTTGACCGCGTCTGGTGAAATGAATGACTTTGTTATCACCGACATATATACCTGGCAACGTTAGTTCCAGTATCGGTGTCAGTCTAATGCATGCCAAATACAGTACAACGTGTTCCATCATGTACAGTCAGTTTAATACATATCAAATACGGTACAACCTGTTCTATCATGTACGGTCGTCAGTCTAATGCATGCCAAATACAATTAATGCATGTCAGATACAGTACAACCTATTCTGACATGTGTGTCAGGCTAATGCATGCAAAATAGATTACAACTTGTTGTAAGTATTAATATGCAAAGATAGATATTACAAGATGCAGAACAAATAGAATTTATCATTTATCAATGTTTCGATTACTTTTATAATTTTGATAAAGAAAAGGGTGCCATGTTCATAGAAGGGACTCAAGAATACTCGGGATTAAAAACTACACTTTGAAACTTGAAACTTTGTAGTGAGAAGATGATAATAATAACTCGAAGCTAGCACGAAGATCCAATACATGATCGAATCAACATCGGATATGCAAATTCGAAATTATCGAAATTTGACAAAAAATTTAGTAGTCAAGTCCAGAAACAAAATGCCAATCAATGAGTAAAAATTACAGCAAGAACGCGCGTAAAGAAAACGCAATCGAATAGAGAAGGAACAAAAAGCTAATGGAAACTAGGGTTTGTAAATATACGAAATAATTCAAATTTCGATCGAATAAATTCGATTGTAAAGAGAAATTGATGAAGAAACAAAAACGAGTAGCGAAAAAGGGAGAGTAATACCATGATGAGCATAAATGTAAGCAGTACGCCATGAATATATATGATCTCCTGGTTTCAGACTCCCCCTATCCAATCTGCATCACGCAAAATAAAATTTTTTCATCAATTAATCCACCAAGATAATCAAATAACCTGAAATTGAAATTAAAAGCTTTACCTGTTCGAGAGAAGCCCCATCTTTTCTTCTGAAAACGATGATGAAGCCTCTGTATCGTTTATTTGTTTGATTATTTTCAGAAGAAATTGGGTTTCCTCCCTCTTATTAACCGCTTTGAATTGCAGAAGTGATAGGATTCCTTATCGAGTGAAATTACGATTTTATCCCTCAACGCGTTCTCTTCCTGCTTAAGTAATACTAGACCGGGGATGGACGTCGACGATCGGCAAGATAACGGCGGAGACCCGTGTTGTCGTCCACGTGTCCTTTAATCCGGATAACGGGCCGTTATGTGTGTGTAGTTTATGATGGGCTGTAAAGCCTGAAGCCCAATAAAAGTTTTTTTTGTTTTTTTTTTTTAAACATGATTTTAAGAGGGAAAACTCACTTGTAAACAAATTAACATCAATGGATATATAATTGGATTATATTTGATTATAAAGTCGTGGACATGTATTAGTTTTTGAACTATATTCTTCTTACAAATGTTAAATAAACATTAAAAAGTATTGTTAAAATTATTAATTTAATTTTGGACAAAATCAGGGTCTTGATATGCTTAAAAGTTTGCACCATGCAAATACTTATAGTATGTTTCAAAGCAGCTTCATAAGTATAAAAAAAAAAAAAAAATCTAAAATTTTAGTTCATTTGTCTTATTATTTGCAAACATATGATACTTCGCACCGTGTTTTCGTTTAATATGGTGTAAAAAAACTAACATGATGATAAATGCCACATAACTAATTGGCTATTTTTAAAAAAAAAACAACTAGCATTTCATATACGTTTTTGAGCAATTCCGAATACAGTCGAGGAATTGTCTCAAACCTCCTTAAAGTAAGTTTTTGTTGTAAAACATAAACATGTTGAGTTCTATTTGGGTGGTATGTTGTGTAACAACCCAATATTTTTAAAGTCAATGTAACAATCTAAAATCAAGTATTGTAACTTATTTTTAAAATAATAAGAATAGAGTAAAAAATGAAATGTTCAAAAATGTCAATTGGGATATAAAAAGTGATAGATATCGTAACAAGGTTTTCAGAAATAGAAGGAACACTAAAATCCGAGTTATAACGAAGAAGTTATGACCAATCAAAGATCCGCAACAAAACCGGTAAAACATTGTTAAGCATAAAACGCGAAATTTCAATAAAATACTCTTTAGCCTTAGGTATCTAATGAAAGTTGTAGATATCATTAAACCGTACATGTATATGAAAAGAATGTCCAAATCTGACTTTGTATGAGGAAGTTATGATTTTTCTAAGTTTCGGATATAGCAGTAGACAACTAAAAACTCGAAATAGAGATCGAGCGACTTTTAGCCGGCACAACCTAAACAAGAATCGAAAAATTCGACAATAGTAGTATAATGGTAAAAAGATAGACGAAAACGAACGTCGGATAAAAAAAGTTATGAATTTTTAACGGACTTTTCAAGTTTCGGTCTGTTAAAAATATAATATTAAAAATAAAATTCAAAATTAGCCGACGGGGTCTAAACGAAAGTTGTAGAGTATAATATCACCTGCTCGTGAATATAAAGAACGTCAAAATCGGAACTCG